TTTTAAAGGAAGAATTTTAATTTATTGTTAACTTGTTTGTTAATTTTTTCTTTGTATTTTTAACTTTCCCCCCCCTTTTGTCAGATTTAGAGATTTTTTTCCCCGTTGTTGTTGGTTGTCATTTGGTTAGGGGGTCACACACACTTGGTTATGGTTCACTGCAGATTGTGCATTTGTTGTAGCACCAGGGAACAGTACCATCAGATTGTACCCAGCATGTGGAATGGTCCCAGGGATGAAACCGTGGCCTCACATTTGGAAGGCAGACACTCTACCTTTGGGCTGTGCTTGGGCCTTATTAATAGAGAATTTTGAAAAATGGAATGTAGATTAGAAATAGAAAAGCATATATGGGTTTCACATGGTTACATGTATTTAAATCCCTTGTTTCCTTGGACCTTGCAAATAAGGTTGTTTTCTATCATTTGGACAAGCTGTATAATTATTCTTTTTTAAAAAAAAATAGCATTTGCATACCTCTACAGTTTGCAGCTAGTTTCTTTTAATAAAAAAAAAAACAATAAAAGAAGGGTGGGGGAGGTATGTAGGAAATGCCAAAACCATTTTAATGCAATATAAAGTTTGCAAATTTGGGTTCTCCAATGTCAGGAAACTGGTACATGTGCTAATTTTTGGTGTTTTAAGTCTGATACTGTTCAGACAGCAGAGGCACTTTGTACAGAGCAGTCACCATTGTTATTCCCAGAGCATTTGGCGTTGTTTAGTATTGTTTATCCTCTGCATTTATTCAGCATTACCATATGTTGTAATTTCTAGAACAGATGAGAGCATCGGCAAACAGATTTCCATGAAAGAGTCAAGGAAGCAGTGGAAAATGAAGCTGCTCTAAAGTCTTGTTGACACTAGTGTGTGTGGGGCTGAAGGTGGGTAAGATAGAGGAGAGACCATTATGACAATAATAACTGGGAATGATCATGCTGGACAAGATCTTAGGGTTGAAAGTAGGTAAGGGATATTCTGGATAACTTTTCACTATCAATATTGCAAACCACAACCACAATACCCAAAAAGGAGGGGGATGGGTGGAGAGCGAGAGAGAGAGAGAGAGAGAGAGAGAGAGAAGCACCTGCCATAGAGGCAGGTAGGGGTCGGGTGTGATGATGAAAGGTCATCAGGTATATCCCTTTACCTACTTTCAACACTCAGTTCCTGTCCAAAATGATCATTTCCAAGTATTATTGTCATGGTGGTCCCCTCTCTGTCCTAACAGCCCTTCACCACCCCTCTCCCTCCACACACTCTTGTGGCAAGTTCCCAACTACCTCCTTTCATCTTTCTGATATTGCTCATGTGTCTCTGTTTTTAACTGGAGGAAGAAGAGCGCTGATATCTTGGATGGCCATCATGACCGAATGACAGGGAGGTCTCTAGTCTTTGCACACTGGGCTAGGCAGAAGAGGTTGGAGAGAGAGGAGAAAGGGGGGGGGGGCAAAGCACCTGCCATAGAGGCAGCAGGTAGGTGTTTGGGGGTGATGGGAGGGAACCTGGGGACACTGGTGCTGGGAAATGGACCCTGGCGGAGGGATGGGCATTGGAACACTGTATGACTGAAATCCAATCATGAACAGTTTTGTAATGGTCTATCTCCAGTGATTCAGTAAAAAAGTTAAAAAGAAATCTTGTGGACAATAGTTGCAGAATGCTGCTTGAATGTTATATATGGTAAATGGGAAAGTAGGTCACACCTCTTTTTTACACTAATGTTTTCTACACTCATTTCAAACTTTTACTTACGCTTACTGGTCAAAGGCATTTACAATGATGTGGTATGGAAATAATTTTGAAACAACAGTTTAAATAATTAAACAACTTTGTATTCTTTTACTTTCTGTAAACAATGGGGAGGGTTGTTTTTTTTTAAGCTTACTGTAACAACAACACATTTGGTCATTTCTTGTAATGGAAGGGGCTGTATGACTATAAGAGACATGAATGTGCTCTAGTTTTTGTTTATCCTCATCAAACTTTATGTCTAATTTTAGTCAGGAAAAAAGACTGTTTAGAACTAGTTTTTCTGTTATTTTACTGTTAGCTTATTTTAGTGAGCAAGAAGTTTAACCAAAATTTTTTGGAATAGAAAAGGAGCAAATAGTCTGTGTGGCTTCTCTAATTCAAACAATTTTTTCCCACCATCACCTGGATAATTGGAAGAGTCTTTGTAAAATGTACAATAGAAACAATCTACTGTAACAAGGGCCAGGAGTGTGGGGTTGCCTTAAATCGTTACACTAAAATTAAAGAGAATTTGAGTTATCAGGTATTTATTATACTCATATAGATAATACAAAAAAACTCAAGTAACCATATAAATTTGGAATAAGTTTATTGTTGGCTTTATTTGGGAGGGTTTGTTGGGGCGCCATACCTGGTGATGCTCAGAGTTTGCTTAGTGTTCAGGGGATCTTATGGTACTAGAATTGAACCCAAGCCTCAGGCATGCAAAGCATGTGCTCCAACTCACTGAGCCATCTAATAATCTGTAGCACTGTTGCACTGTAGCACTGTTCATCAATTTGCTCGAGCAGGCACCAGTAACGTCTCCATTTTGAGGCTTCTTGTTACTGTTTTTGGTGTATCGAATATGCCACAGGGAGCTTACCAGACTCTGCTGTGCGGGCGTGATACTCTTGGTAGCTTGCTGGGCTCTCTGAGTGGGATGAAAGAATCGAACCGGGTTAGCCGCATGCAAGGCAAACGCCCTACCAGCCGTGCTACCGCTCCAACCCAATAATCTGCATCATCTATAATGTGACCATTAACCAGAGACATAGCTCAAATGATTAGACTATACAGGAGCCCAGGGTTTAATCTCTGGCACCCCATGATACCTCATGCACAATGAAACAACCCTGAACTGCAAAATAAGAATAAAGTAACCATCAGCACCATTGGGTGTAACCCCCCCCCCCAATTAAAAAGTGATCACAATCATACAGTACTACTCATCTTTTATATAATATTCATATTTATTATCTCACTTAACCCTCATTTAATTCTCACTGTTAATTTATAAAATAGTTAAATTCCCAAATTGAGATGAAACCTCTCTAGAGAAGTAGGAAATGGACTTGGTTGGTTGATTAGTTGATTTTTGGGTCACACTCAGCAGTGTTCAGGGTTTACTTCTGTCTCTGTTCTCAGGCATCACTCTTTGTGATGATTGGGGAACAATATGGGATGCTTGGGGGATTGAATTTGGGTCAGCCATATACCAGGCTGGGTCATACCCCTTGTACTCTGTCCCCAGGAAATAGATTTCAAAAATGGTAAGGAAGATAATGCTCGGTAGAGAGACCGTGATATTCCAGGCACCAGAGTGGTAAAGAAATCTAATTTTACGGAGGATATAAAATTTGTACTATTAGCTGAGAAAGAGAAAAAAACAGAATGGGATTTTTTTTTAAGTGAATCACCATGAGATACAGTTACAAAGCTTTCATGATTGAGTTTCAGTCATACAATGATCAAACACCCATCCAACCACCAGTGTACATTTTCCACCACCAATGTCCCCAGTATCCCCCCTGCCACCTCCACCCCACCCAACTCCCTGCCTCTGTGGCAGACAATTTTTTTCTCTCTACTTTTGGGCATTATGGTTTGCAATACAGATACGGAGAGGCCATTATGTTTGGTCCTTTATCTACTTTGCGCACACATCTCCCATCCCGAGTGATCCCTCCAACCATCATTAACTTTTTGATGCCTTTTCTATCCCAGATGCTTTCTCCCCCAGGTCATGAGGCAGGCTTCCAACCATGAAGCAATCTTCCTGGCCCTTGTCTCTACTGTCCCTAGGTGTTAGTCTCATGTTATTTATATTCCACAAATGAGAGCAGTCATTCTTTGTCTGGCCCTCTCTTTCTGACTCATTTCACTTTCTGTGATACTCTCCATGTCCATCCACTTATTAGCAAATTTCATGGCTTCATCTTTCATAACAGCTACATAGTATTCCATTGTGTAGATGGTTTCTTTAACTAGTTGTCTGTTCTCAGGCATTTGTGTTTTTCCATATTCTGGATATTGTGAACAGTGCTGCAATGAACACACAGGTGCAGATGTCATTTCTACTGTGTTTTTTTGCACCCCCAGAATATATTTCCAGAAGTGGTATTATGGAAGCTCAATTTCTAGTTTTTTGAGGAATGCCCATATTGTTTTCCAGAAAGTCTGGGCCAGTTAGTATTTCTACCAACAATGAAAGAGAGTCCCTTTCTCCCCACATCCACATCAGCACTGGTTGTTCTTGTTCTTTTTGCTGTGTGCCAGTCTCTGTAGTGTAAGATGATATCTCATTGTTGTTTTGATTTGCATCTCCCTAATGATTAGTGATGTAGAACATTTTTTCATGTGCCTTTTGGTCATTTGTATTTCTTTTTTGAGGAAGTTTCTGTTTATTTCTTCTCCCCATTTCTTGATGGGGTTGGAGGTTTTTTTTTCTTGTACGGTTCTACTAATGTCTTATACATTCTAGATAATAATTCCTTATCCGATGGGTATTGAGTAAATAATTTTTGCCAGAATGGGATTTTTGTAAATGACTCAACAATTAAGACATGTTGAATTTAATGATGGGAGGCAGAGATTTTTATAAAGAATGTATGCAACCAATAGGGATCAAAATATTTTTTTAATTGCATAGATTTTTGTCAGTATTTCTTCTAATATTCCTAATAATATTTAAACCTTATACTTGTGAAGAAATGTGATGAGATGTTAATAGCCTTGAATAATTATTTAAATTTGGGGATTTTGTGGTATGTGAACATTTACCATTACCATATGTGGTTAAGGTTATTTATTAAGCAAGCTGGAATTTATAAAATTTCTTTAATATTTATATGATATCCAAAGCAGAGTATGCTTATTGTATAAAATAAGTGCATAAAAATTAAACTGAAGGAAAAACCTTTATAGATGTACTGCTGGGGTAAAATGTGTTCTGATATCTTTCCCCTACATGTTGTTTCTTTCAGAAATATGGGTACATACACCTTTCTGCAGGAGAACTACTTCGGGATGAAAGGAAGAACCCAGAATCACAATATGGTGAACTCATTGAAAAGTATATTAAAGATGGAAAGATTGTGCCAGTTGAGATAACCATCAGTTTATTAAAGAGGGTAAGGAATGTAAATACCAACCAACTTAAGTCAGGAGGGGAAAGAGAAATTTAATCCACCTTTGTTTTGACTAATGAAAAATTAGAGTATTGAATTTCTACCTTTTGAGAGCTGTCATGGTATTTAAGAATGGCAGAACTGGAAATTCTGCTTTCACCTGGGAAGAAATTGGACTGTGTAAGGATCTTGGTCCAGGATCAGCTAAAACTTAATATTCACAGGCATACATTTTATCCTTTTCCAATATATAGTCATTTGTTTTTATTTTTGGTCACACTGTCGATGCACAGGGGTTACTCCTGACTTTGCACTCGGGAATTACTCCTGGCGGTGCTTGGGGGACCATAAGGGATGCTGGGAATCGAACCCAGGTTGACCACATGCAAGGCAAATGCCTTACCCACTGTACTATCACTCCAGCCCCTATATAGTCATTCTTTTTTCCATTTCTGGGTTGTCTTTCTTTACCTTCTCTCTCTATTTTGCTTTCTTTATCTCTCTCTCTGTCTCTCTCTTGTGTGGGGTGTTTTTGTTGTTGTTGTTGTTTGATCATAGCATCCTTTGCATGCCTCACAATAGAATTTCATTCATGTACTTACTCTGCTACTCATTGGACTATGAGCCTTTTGAGGACCATAATCCTTTATTCTTCATGGTGCTGAGTGTCCTTGAATTTTGTTGAATGACTTTAACATTAATGAACCATTTCAGCTAGCTTTCACTACCATTAGTGGGGTGGAAAATGATGTAGCAAGAAACTCAAGGCATCCTATAGATGTGACTAGAGAAGCAGCTAGATTCTGGGATAAAGCCAACCCTCAGAAAAGAAATCAAGGATCTTAAGAGTCATTGTTCTTTAAGGACTAGGAAAGAGGGTGAGCACTGAAGGGACAGAATGTCAGTTTACTTTAGGATAGGGACTTCTCTGAAGTTTGTCAAAGTCAGGTCTCTCTGGGACTAGTTAGTGGTGAGACTTGGAGGTAAAAGATCTGCATTTCCTATTCCAAACTTTTCATTGTGAAGTGTGTTACTCTTGTCCTCCTTAATGTAATTTTTCCTTTGTTATCTGTATTTTAGGGTAGCCAGTGATACTTATATTTAATTAGCTTCACTCGAAAAACAAAGAGTAATGAGACCTACGCTAATAATGCTAGCTAGCAGTCTCTGTTTATCCACAGCATTTTACTTTGGGACTCGAATTTTAGCCAGATTTTAGACCTGATAGAAGCAGCATCATTCTTACTGCAGCAAAATGAGCTAGGAAAGTGAAAAGAGAAACAAAGTAAGGTCTCATGTGGTAGGAGCAGATATAAGGGTCAGTGCTTATTTTTATCTTAATGTGTTCGTGAACATTTATGTAAAACAGACCTATGAAAGTGATGTAAACTTAGGGTAGACAGTTTATGAATTACTGAAAAACTAGGCAGTAGTATGTGCAGAAAATGGAGGCTCCACCTTGAGGCAGTCATGTTATTTCAGTGGACCATTTCCTTCAATTCTGTTTTGAAGGCATCCTTCACTCTCGATTTATGATTTAAAGAATACCATCTGCCACCCTGCTTAGGAAATTGTATTCTGTTCTGGTATTGAATTTAAATCTTTCTTTTCCCTTAGGAAATGGATCAGACAATGGCTGCCAATGCTCAGAAGAATAAATTCTTGATTGATGGGTTTCCAAGAAATCAAGACAACCTTCAAGGTTGGAATAAGACCATGGATGGGAAGGCAGATGTAGCATTTGTTCTGTTTTTTGACTGTGATAATGAGGTAATTAAAAGTCTTTAACTGCCCATGTTGACTGTAAGCAACCAATATTCAATTAGTAGAGAAAATCAAAGTAGTTTTTTACTTAAGTTTGCTTGCATTTTATATAGTGAAAAATATATATATTTTAACTGGTTGATTGAATGTATAGAATAGTATTGTTTTGCTGTTGGAATAATAAAAGATATTCGGTTTCAGCAGCCTTGTGGACCTAAAATTTGCTTTATTTTCAAAATAGCAAGAGTTTTATTTTGTTTCAAATAAGAGTTTGGGCTGGAGAGATAGTACAGCCAGCAGGGCCCTTACCTTTGATGTGTGCAGCCTGGGTTTGATCTTTGGCATCCTATATCATCTCCAGAGCACTACTAGAAGTATCCCCTGAGCACTGCTGGGTGTGACACAAAAACAAAACAAGAGAAAAGATTGGTTTGTACAATTTTATTAGGAAATAAAGCCGAACTATTGTTTTCTTAGATATAAGAGAATATCTCATCTTAAGGTATTATTTATAGAAAAGAAAAGAAACGTATTTCTGGGAAGTTGGGAAACTTTTTCTTCTTTTGGTTTTTGGACCAAACTGGGCACAGGGTCATTTTTGTCAGTGCTCAGGACCATGCAGATCCAAGATCAATTTGGGCCTCTAGCATTCAAAATATGTGCTCAGCCTCGTGAACCATTTCTTACCCAGGAGAACTTTGTTTTCAATAAACATACAGGACTAGAAAGATGGTACAGCAGGTAAGGTGCTTGCCTAGTAAGAGGCCAGCCTGTGTTCGAGTACCCTTTGAATAACGAAATGAATGTCTTGGAATCATTTAATTAAAAGCCCTGACTCTCTTTGAGAGCTGAAACAAAAATTTTAATTAATGCCAATAGCCATAAAGAATAAGAATCGGAAGTAGTACCATAAGCAAGTTGACTGCTTTTAGGTTTAGAATTGAAAATGTGCCTCTGGTAGAGAGACTTGCTGTAGCCTTCAAGTTGTTTTAAAACTCCTTTCCCAACCCCCCAAAATATGTTTTCCCTTATTCTTCAAAGTTAACTTTAGAATGTTACCACAGCTTTATAACTAAGGAATGTTTATTCACAACTAACAAGGGATACTTCATTCAAATGCAAATGTTGACTCAAATGTTTAGATATTTATGGAATTAATTGAAAAGTAAGCAAAATGGAACAAGGTTTGAGGCATGTAATTTATACCTAATAAGTTAGTAATATATACTAGATGGAACCGTATACGTACAGATCTTCTTTTTATTGCGGTTTAAAAAAGTACACAGGAAAAATTGAGTCATGAATGAATTCTTATGCTCTGTACTTCCTTAACCTAGTTTATGTAAATTGAACCACATGTTTAAATTTAAAGGGACCTGAATGTTTATTAATAAATTAGATACTTTAAATTTAATGCGGACTCTTTTTGGGGGGTAATCTCTTAAAACTTGATTCTCTTTTCCACCAGATGAAAATGTATATATTGTTAATTTTAATAACTTTATTTTTCTTTTTTAGATTTGTATTGAAAGATGTCTTGAGAGGGGAAAGAGTAGTGGTAGAAGTGATGACAACAGAGAGAGCTTGGAGAAGAGGTACTGTGCAGTTTTTACACACCCCAAACCAAGTTTGGCACTTGAGCAACATTAAATAACTGCTTTATTTGGTTCAAAAAAAAAAAAAGGAAATATCATGACTTTTCTAATAAGATTTGCTCGAGCGGGCCCAGTAACGTCTCCATTGGAGACTTTGTTGTTACTGTGTCCGGCATATCGAATACGTCACGGGAACTTGCCAGGCTCTGCCGTGTGGGCGAGATATGTCAGTTGAGCCAGACCCAATGTTGTCTTCTGAGATAGCCTATGAATGGATGCCTAGAACTTTGCAATATTTCTTTTTTGCAGAATTCAGACCTATCTTCAATCAACAAGGCCAATTATTGACTTATATGAAGAAATGGGCAAAGTCAAGAAAATAGATGCTTCTAAATCTGTTGATGAAGTGAGTGTCTCTAGTTTGCCTAAAAAATATCAAGTAAAAGTTATCTTTGGGAGGAGCTTGGCTAAGAGAATGAAATATTCTAAAACATATTGTAAAAAATAAAATGTTTCCTTCCTCTACCCCCACCCCGCCCCACCCCACACACCCTTTCTGGGAACTAGAAGTAAACTAGACTTTTTCTCCATTTTGAATAGAATTTAAAACAGACTTTACAGCTTCAGACTTGGTCTTAAGAAATAGGTTGTTTAGGGCCCAGAGAGATAGTACAGTGGGTGAGGCGCTCCCTTTGTATGGGGCAGACCTAGGTTTGATCCCCAGCATCCCTCAAGTCTGCCAGCAGTAATCCTTGAGTGCACAGCTAGGAGTACTGCAGGTGTGGCCCAAGAACAAAATAAGAAAATAAGTAGGTAGTTCATTAATTTTACTCCTCCCCTCCCTTCCCTTCCTTCCCTCTTCCCTCTCCTCTCCCTCTTTCCCTGTTTTCCTCTCTTTGTGTGTGTGTAAGAGTGGGGCAGTGTTCAGGCTATACCCTACAGTGCTCAGGGTCTATTCCCGGCTTTATGTTCAGGGATGACTCTGACAGGACTCCGGAGAACTGTATGTGGTGCCAGGGTCAAACTGGGTCAGCTGCATGCAAGGGAAATGCGAAGGAAATGCCCTTCGCTCTTCTACTATCCAGTTTTCAGATCTTTGCTCAAGCATTAGAAAATTGTCATTTTGTGAGCTCTGATTTGGTTTGTGTTCATTTATTGAATCTCAAACATGAAGAACAAGTCTTTTAGCTCAAAACTCTTAGGCTGCTTTTATCTCTTCAGCCACAGAACACAAAGCTCCATAAGTGCAGACACACAGTAACTTCTCTCTTCCTTCATGATTCTCTGGCCTATAAATTGGGAGTGTTTTAAACCCCAGAAGATAGTTCCTATTTCTCTTAATGTCTTTTCTTTAATACCTTGAATCTTATACTTCTGGATCAGAGGTTCCAAACTTACTTGGCTTAACATCCCCTTTTCAGAAAAAAAAATTCACTCAGTGCCCCCCTGGAAATCTACCTTCTCTCCTTCTGAACCTACTGTTACACCACAGGATTATTCCAGTAGTTCCCCTCTTTCCCGCTCTTGGGGAAATACTGCTTATGACCTTTCGTCATTATTATAAATTCATTCTTTTTAAAATTCTATTTCTGTATGGAGAAAGATGAAAACTTAGGTGTTTTAGAATTAAGAAAGAAAAGCCACTCCAGTTTGCTCTTGGTCAGATTCTTATTGCCCCTCAGAGAGTTTTTATTTTAAAAACACTGATAAGGGGTTGGAGAGATCGTGCAGAAGGCAGGGTGCTTGCTTTGCATGCAGAGCTCTTGGATTCAATCCACAGCGTCCCATGATCCCCTGAGCATTGCCAGGAGTGACTCCTGAGACAGCAGTAAGCCCTGAGCATGGCTAGGTATGGCCAGATTGAACCCACCCCCCAAAATCCACCAATAAAATTGGGACTCGAGAGATGGTACAGTGCAAGGGCAAGGGCACTTGCCTTGCATGTGGCCAACTCAGGTTCCACCCCTGACATTCCCTGTAATTCCCCCAAGCACCCCCGAGTGATCCCTGAGTTAAGAGCCAAGAGCAGGCCTTGAGATCACTGGGTGTTTTGCCCCCAAATCCAAAATAAATTCAAGAGAAAAAAACTTAAATCTAGCGTTCTTATGATCTCATATATATTTATGGCATTTTGCTGTCTAAAGCAAATTTGGGTAGATAAAAAATTGCATTATAGCACTGTCCTCCTGTTGTTCGTTGATATGCTTGAGCAGGCACCAGTGACGTCCATTGTGAGGCTTGTTGTTACTGTTTTTGGAGCATCGAACACATCGCTGGTAGCTTGCCAGACTTTGCTGTGTGGGTGGGATACTCTCATTAGCTTGCCGGGCTCTCCGAGAGGGGCGGGAAAATCAAACCCGGGTTGGCCGCATGTAAGGCAAACGCCCTATCTGTTGTGCTATCGCTCCAGCCCAGATAAAAAATTAAAACATTTTCATGATCCATTTTGAAAATCAATATAAAAGTGACTGGTTTTATTATTTTTAATTGAGGTAGCATTTGCTTATGCATCATATCAGTTTCAGGTGTATAGCATTCTGATTTGGTATCTATATAGTGTAGCATTTCATCAAAAGAGTGGCTTCCATCCATCCCCGTTCAGTTATCTTGTTACCTGTTTGGTTCTCCCCTCACCCCTACCACCTCTCCTCCCTTCTGCTGTAAAAGTAACTGTTTTTAGCAGAAATTAGCTATTTTAATAATACCCACTTTAATAATTCTTATTATCTGTTTTCTTTATAGGTTTTTGATGAAGTTGTGAAGATTTTTGACAAAGAAGGCTAACTCTAAATATGTTAAAAATTCTAGAAATCATGCTTGAATATTGCTTTGATAGCTGCTATTACAACCCCTTTCTAAGGCGATTTTAATATTTCTTAATTATATCTCAGTTAATGGTGGGAAAATATGTAGTTCAGATAAATCACATTTAAAAAATTTTTTGATCTCTGGAATAGGCAGTGAATTTGAGTCTGACTTCGTTTTAGCAATGGTGCTCACAAAACAAAGAAGGATATCACCTAGTTGTTTGTTTTTTTATTCAAAGAGAATATCCCTGTTATAGTTTGTGCCTTCTGTGAGCAGAATTTTTAGTATGTGTACGCATCCCTCTGGTTTAAGGATTCCCCTTTCTCCTCTCTTGCAGGTTTTAAATTTCCAACCTGTTAAGTGAATTTGTGGACCAAATTCCAAAGGAACATTTTGTGTAGTCCTTGCAATACGTGTTTGGTAAACAAATATAGAAAATGAATTCCTAGACATGTTTTAGTATTTATGAAATAACTGACCATTTCCTATAGGAAGATAAGAAAATTAGGCATTGTTTTTCCACAACTTGTACAAAGTTGTGTGAGAGGGTGTGTTTTTCGCTTCCCAAGTATTGGGACGGGGCATTGGGTCAGAGTCTGGCAGAATCGTCAGCTTAATTCTGACATAAATCTGAGGGTAAGGGGCAAAGAGCTCTCTAATGACAGTGCTCCTTACGCTCATATGTGGTGTTGTTGATGATTGGGCTGATTAACAAAGTTCTTAGCGGGGGAACCTTGAAGAGCATGTACTAGGTTTATGCCAGAATCATTCATTTAGTGTTTTGATAACACTTCTTGGTTTCTTGTTTTCTAGACGAAATAGAGGATTAGTAAAAAGAAATGTGATGGTTCGTTTCCCGTTTGTATTTTATTTTCTTGGATTTTTTCCCCATAGTTACTTGTTTAATAAGATCTCAAAATCATTGCACTTTGGTAATAAATAAATATATCTTATAAATGTTTGATTCCCTTCCTGGCTACGTTTATTCATTAACTTCCTTTGGGGGGGCATCATGTTAAAAAGGTATAAAAGGTATAGAATCCTTTTTTTTTTTTGGCTTTTTGGGTCACACCTAGCAATGCTCAGGATTTACTCCTGACTCTGTACTCAGGAATTATTCCCAGGGGTGCTCGGAGACCATCGGGATGCCAGGGATCAAACCAGGTTCGGCCATGTGCAAGGCAAATGCCCTACCTTCTGCACTGTTGCTCCGGCCCCAAAAGATTTAGAATTTTTAAAAACACTATTGAATTTAAAGTAATTTTTCCAAACCCACCTTTAAAAATCTCTGAGAAATTTGTTTTCTCCTTTCTTTTTCTGTCATCACTAAGCCCGGCAAGCTACCGAGAGTATTCGATATGCCAGACACAGTAACAACAAAGTCTCCAATGGAGACGTTACTGGGCCCGCTCGAGCAAATCGACGATCAACGGGAGGGCCTTTACCTTTACCTTTTACTAATGTAAAATGGGACTCAAGGTTCTAAATATGAGACTAGAAATATTTCTCATTTTTAGCACTTAACACTATTTGGTAAACAGGGTTAAAATTAGACAGGAAATTTGTCTTTGTGTAATTAGATTTTATAAAGTCATTGGGAGTAGTGAGGACATTTTATGAATGTTGTAATTGATATATCTGTTTCAAAGTATGCTTTGAAATTCACTTATTAATTATACTTTTTCAGCACGCCTACCATTGGAAAACAAAGCATTCAAAAGTACTATAATGTACTAAAATTCATATTGAGATTTTCTTGGTTTCTTCAAATAGATTGTAATGAATTCTTACCTAGTGATTCAGTACAGCTAATACAAAAAGACTTTACTAATTGTGTATTTAAATAGCAGTATGAAGTAAGGGTAAAGAGTAAGGTTTTGAGACTATTCCTACTCATGGAAGTGAAGAAATCCACCAAGGAGGAGATCGAAGTATTTCTGTTGACATTTTAAAGTAACATGAAGGCTGCTAGAAGATTGCTGAGTCTCAGTGCTTTGCTTCCTTTCATCAAGTATCTCTGGCACTGGAGAACAGAGTATAAAAAACATAGTAATTACGAAATTACGAGGTTTTGCTTTTTGTTTGCTTTTTAAGTAGAAAAACATGTTGGCAACTCTTTGGAGTTGATTGCAATAAATCTGTCTCCACTAGTTTAGTTTTTCTGTTTGTTAAAGATACAGTCACAGGAAAATTTTGACATTCTTGAAAGACTCCAATGGAAGCCTTTCTATTTTTAAAATTTAATATTTTTCCATCTAGTGATGTTGGATGTATATTAATTATTCAGTAAATAATCCCAATAAACTTTATGTTACAGCCTTTACTTTTCACTCGTTTAGACTTGTGTTCTCTAAAGCATGTTGAAAAGCAAGAAGTTTCATATTCAAGTGAAGGTCCTTGCACAGTAAAAGCAGAGGTCAGGATCCAGGAGGATTTTCTGCTCCGTGTATTATGTTTGTGCGTCTTGAATGAAGCAGAAAGCTTGAGTTTCTCCCACTCCTTCAAGAAGTGATCTGGGTTTAGGCATGAGCAGCCTGGGGCAGGGATTGAACCTAGGGCCTCATGCACACAAGACCTGCGTACCACCACATCAGGTCTGGCCCAGGACACAGACCTCCTGTGGACAAGGAAGTCCAGATATACTGCAGAGGACCCTTCGACATCGTGCTGATTAGACATGCAGCTCCACTTTCACGCTTTCGGTGACAGGAACTCATTCCTCAGCAGCCTGCCTCATTGCTGGGGGCTCTGACTTTCCAAGGTCGCCTGTGCTTCTGTTGTCCTCCTGTCCTCACACCCATACTGAGAACATCGACTCTCTCCCTCCCGAGGCCTGGAGAAAGGGGCAGTGCCCCTTTTAAGACAGTGGCAGTCAGTGAGCAGGATGAAACTGCCCTGCCCTGGCTCGTTGGTGCTCAGGTGACCACCTCTCACCAGTGGGAGAACATTGTCCTCTTTCTGCATCTTCTCTCTTCTCACCCATGAACTTCAGAGATGGCAACTAGGTATCTATACGACCTTTCAGTTTGGATAAGGTGGTCATGAATTTGCCGATCCTTCCAGCACATCTAGGCAGTCTGGAGGAAAGATTTTTCCCTCACACACACAGCAGGGCAGGGAGTTTCCAGTACCTACCCCTGTCATTTCATTTACGATGGTGATTCTCAAAGTATCAGACTCGGTTTCACCTGGAAAAGAGAATGCAGACGTGGGCTGCTGCATGCCACTCCAGAACAGGAGACAGGAGGGAGGGGCTGGGAGGCTGGATTGAACAAGCTCTGGGTGATTTAGATGCATTGGAATGTTCCAGAACCACTGATTTAGACTCACCTGGGAACTTCTCTCTCTCTCTCTCTCTCTCTCTCTCTCTCTCTTGTTTGGTCTGTTTTTAGGCCACACCATCCTGGATTAGTGCTCAGGAACCACTCCTGATGGGTTTGGGGGAAACGAGATGCTGGGGATCGAAACTGGGTTGATGTATAAAGCAAGTACTCCACCCACTGTACTATCCTCTCCAGCCCCTCACTTTGGAAGCTTTTAGAATTTAAAGGGAAGGAGCCTGAAATTCTTGTCTCCTCTCCTCCTCCTACCCCTTCCCTTTCCTTCAGCTTTGCTCACGGTCCTGGGGCCACTCTTCCCATCACAGACGGTTTTATGGTTTGGTGCTTAGCCTGGCAGTGCTCAGGGGGCCACCAATGCTGTACTAGCATTGGGTAGGTACCTGTATTGTAAACCATAATGCATAAAAGGAGAGAGAGAGAAAGAAGAAAAGTGCTGTAGAGGCCAGCTGGGGAATGGGGGCGAGGGTGTGGAGGGGGTTTTGGGGTGTGGTGGGAGGGTGGTTGGAAATGTACACTGGTGGAAGGATGGGTGTTGGGTCATTGTGTGACTGAAACCCGATCCTGAACAGCTTTGTAATGACATCAAGGTGATTCCATTAAAATTTTTCTTTTAAAAAGGGGGGCATTGGAGAATCACTCAGTAGTAGAACATTTGACTTGCACATTTGAGGCTCAGGACTTAAAGCTTAAGAAGCAAAAAAAATAGGGGGCTGGAGTGATAGCACTGGGAGTATGGCGTTTACCTTGCATGTGGTCAATCCGGGTTCGATTCCCAGCATCCCATATGGTCGCCTGAGCACCGCCAGGAGTGATTCCTGAGTGCAGAGCCAGGAGGAACCCCTGAGCATCACTAGGTGTGATGCAAAGAAAAATAAAAAAGCATAAAAACAGAGCTACAGTGTAATCCAGCTCTCCCACTCGGGTATGTGTCTGAGGAATAGGAAAACGTATCACAAAAAGTTTTATCCACCTAATGTTAAGTACATCATTACTGACAATAGCTGATATGTGGAAACAGCCAACCAAAGACCTAATAAAGATAATGTAGTATGTACACATAATAAAATACTATTTAACTATGAACAAAGATGAAATTTTCCATTTTGTAGCAAAATGAAAGGACCTCAAATGGATTATCAGAATCAAAATAAGCCAAAAAGAAAAAGTACTAAATTATTTCACTCGTGTACAATTTAATCATCTAAAACTAATGATCCAACAAAATAAAAATAAGTCTGTAGCCACTGACTACAAAACTAAGGTTACCTGAGGGAAAGATGGCGAGGAGGGAGGTAGGGGGTGGCTTTATTTAATTTTAATTTTTTATACACCTGGAAATGCTCAGCTGACTCATGGCTCTGAGTCCAGGGTTCACCCCTGGCAGTGATGCGGGAATGGAGGAGGAAAGGGCATGCTGGTGGTGGGATCAGTGTTGAAATATTTAATGCCTGGAACAACTATATTATGCACAACTTGGTAAATCACAGTGTTATAATAAAACGTTTCTAGTAGGGCTGGAGTGATAGTACAGTGTGTAGGACATTTACCTTGCATGTGGCTGGCCCAGTTTGATCTCCAGTATCCCATATGGTCTCCAAGCACTGCCAGGAGTGATTCCTGAGTGCGGAGCCAGGAGTAACCTCTGAACATTGTTGGGTGTGACCCAAAAAGCCAAAAAAATTATTTAAAATATACCACCTGCATGGCAGAGCCTGGCAAGCTACCCGTGGCATGTTCGATATGCCAAAAACAGTAACAAGTCTCACAATGGAGACGTTACTGATGCCCGCTCGAGTAAATTGATGAACAACAGGAGGACAGTGGCTACAGTGCTACCTCTGGTCTCAGTCAAAGGAGTCAGCATCTCTAAAACTTGGCTTGTTCGAGTAACCAGTTAGTTCAACTGACACATCAGATCCTTGTCTGAATGTGATTAGATTGTAATAAGGCCTCCTGCATGCACCTCACTGGTATCTGTGTGTCAGCTGATAAAACAATGACTACAAATTAAATAACTACTTTCAAAAATCAAAAATCTAAATTAAGCTTGGATATAGCCACAAAATTCCTCAAACCATAGGTTAAGTAAGACAGCTCTTGAAACCCACTTTCATAAAAAGGAGAGGGACCAGGTTCTGGGCTCTTGAAGATTTAGAATTAAGAAGTGATGTTTGGTGGGAGAGATTTTGGATCACACGAGTAAGCTCCTGTAGGAGCCAACCTGCTTATGAACTCATTTGATCTGCTTCTCTGTACAGTCGCTCTCTCCAGCCCCTCCCCCCATCCCTTCTAGTTTCTGATTTTTCCATCAGCACATGGAAGCAGCACCCTTAACTTCAAACAGAATTTCATTCTGAGTCTTTTCCAAGTATCTAGACTGACGTCTCAGCCCTGAATTCAGGAAGAGCAGTCTGCTCGACCGTGATGCCTACTGACAATGGCACACATGTTCTTCCTGACAGCTCTTCCACACCAGAGGCTTTTCAGTGGGGCTGTTTAATGGGATAATTCTGACTCCTCAAAGTTAGCCATTAAACTTTAGCATCCCACCCAATAATAAGAATGATGTGCCCATTTTGACCACTCTTGCATTTGAAAAAAGGATAATGGTTGTGCTTTGTAC